AGGGTACGTGGGTCCTAGCCGCAATTTGCATCACCCCCATCTTTTCCTTTAGCTTACTGATCTGTGTGGATGACCCAGGAGTGTTGCTCTTTGCTTATCTCCTTGGATATTTTGAATTTGCTCTTCTTTTTTGCAGTTCTTGTGAGATGTGGGTTCAGATCCTCCCTCTACCATGGTTTGGGTTTTGTGACGCCCGGTTATTGCTGCATCTGTCAGCCTCGGTTCCTTTCTGCGAATTATAGAAATGCGTCATGATGTTGCAGGAAGGAGGCAAATTCCATACAGGTTAAAGGAAAATGCTTTGCAAATGGAAATTGGCTGCATGAGGGATTCATTATAATGGGCTGGGCTAGGCTTTGCTTGTTTTTTCTGCGCAGCATTTTTCCCTCACCCTGGATTTTGGGTTCCTGCTGAATTGCTGGCAGCAACTGGCTGGCTTACTGTGCCTCTTTCGGTGCAGAGTAAGCCCACACACCTGCTTAGGCTGGGGTTGGGGGGTTGCGGGTGGTAATGGCCCAGAGCTGACCGAGCTTAACAGAAGATCTTGCAGGACAAAATCCTCTTTCTTGCTCCAGGAATAGTCCCGGGGCGGCAAAGGGTCGTTCCGTACGTGCTTCCTCTTCTTACAAGTTGAAAGGCCAGCCCAGAAAAGTTGTCCACGTTGTTGTGGGCTGGGAAAACACTGCGTTAAAAATGCGGCTCCAGCAATTCTGGGCACAGCGACATTCACCCCCATCGTTCTGCCCGGACACTGAGGTCCAGCCTTCTGGCGGTTCTCTCGCTGTGAGAAGCCAAGTTACAGGGAACCAGGCAGAGGGCCTACTTGGTGGTGGCACCCACCCTGTGGAACGCCCTCCCATCAGATGTCAAAGAGATAAACAACTACCAGACTTTTAGAAGACATCTGAAGGCAGCCCTGATTAGGGAAGCTTTTAACGTTTAATAGGTTTTGTATTTTAATATTGTGTTGGAAGCCACCCAGAGTGGCTGGGGAAACCCAGCCAGATGGGTGGGGTATAAACAACATATTATGATGATGATGATGATGGTACCTCAGGTTAAGTACTTAATTCGTTCTGGAGGTCTGTTCTTAACCTGAAACTGTTCTTAACCTGAAGCACCACTTTAGCTAATGGGGCCTCCTGCTGCCGCTGCGCCGCCAGAGCACAAATTCTGTTCTCATCCTGAAGCAAAGTTCTTAATTGAAGCACTATTTCTGGGTTAGCGGAGTCTGTAACCTGAAGCATATGTAACCCGAGGGTACCACTGTATTATTATTATTATTATTTATTATTTTATTATTATTATCACTGTACAGTCTGGGGGCTGCAAGCTTGGCCTGGGCTTGGCATCCCGTACCTCCATCACCTTTCTGTCCCAAAATCTGACACATGGCTTTGCATTTTGATTTTGCAAACCCAGGGGCTGCTTCCTGGTTTCAGGCATAGGAGCCAACTCCTAAGGGCTGAGGTCCCTTCGACCCCCCCTCAATAGAATATTTGAGCCCTCCCCCTTCCCCCAAGTTGATGGACATTGCCATTCAAATGGTGTGTGTCTTGTTAGCGATTTTGCAGGGTGGGGCTTATTTGCTCCCACCCCCAATATTTTATTCAAGTTGGCACTTCTGGTTTCAGGACAGGACAGGTAAAAGGAATGACCTCTTCAGGAGTGGACACCAAGCTAGATGGAGGAGGCAGCAGTGATTCTGAATATCTCCTGACCTGTAGGCTCTTGTGCTCAGATCCTGGTTGCAGGTTCCCCACAGGCGTCTTGGTCGGGACGCTGGACTAGATGGGCCCCCCTTGGCCTGATCCAGAAGGCTCTTCTTAGGATCCTGGAGGAACTGTGGATACGCACAGCTGGCCCAGGCTTTTCTCTGGGAATTCCCAGCAGCAAGAGGGACTGGCCCCACCAAAGGCACCTCCTTCGCTGCATACCCCCCAATCCTGTTAAAGTACGGCTGGGACAATCCAAGCGGCTTGGCTGCCTGTTCATATCCAGGCATCCTTTGCTTTTCAAATCCCAGAGGGTCTCGGAAAGTTTGCTGCTGAGACTAGGCATTTCGAAAAGCTTCACTGATTTGAACAATAGAATCCTGGAACTGTAGAGTTGGGAAAGGACCCCGTGAGTCATCTAGTCCAGCAGTTCTCAACCTGTGGGTCCCCAGATGTTGTTGGACTACAACTCCCATCATCCCTGAGCTCTGGCCTTGCTAAGGCCTGGGGGCCGAATCCGGCCCAATCGCCTTCTAAATCCAGACCGCGGACGGTCCGAATCAGCGTGTTTTTACATGAGTAGAATGTGTCCTTTTATTTAAAATGCATCTCTGGGTTATTTGTGGGGCCTGCCTGGTGTTTTTACATGAGTAGAATGTGCGCTTTTATTTAAAATGCATCTCTGGGTTATTTGTGGGACGTAGGAATTCGTTCATTTTTTCCCTTCCAAAATATAGTCCGGCCCCCCCCCGCAAGGTCTGAGGGACAGAGGGCCAGCCCCCTGCTGAAAAAGTTTGCTGACCCCTGATCTAGCCCAACCCCCTGCAATGCAGGAATCACAACTAAGGGGCAGGGGCACAAGTGGGGTCCTCCTCGCCCCTCAGAGCAGTGCACCGTGTTGTGATGGGGGGGCTGAATTTTGTAGGTGCCGCGGGACTCTCGTTTTTTTGTGCCAAATCTTCCTTGGCTTCCTGATGGAAGAAGTTAGGATGCTTCCAACTGGAGGCAGGCAGTGGCTTTTCCGAGCGAGAATCGAGAGTTTCACTTCCCGTTGGTGCCTCCCCACAGAATTGTCAAATTGCAGAATTGCAAGGCCCCCCCCATGGGTCATCTAGTCCTACCCCTTGCAATGCAGGAATCTCAACTGAGGCACCCATGACGGGTGGCTACCTGATCTCTGCTTAAAAACCTCCAGGGCAGGAGAGTCTCAACACCTGTCATGAGAGTCTGTTCCGCCCTGGGAACAGCTCCTCCACAGCATCCCCCTGTTCCAACCAGCTTGCGACTCCGTCAGAAAGAAAGATAGGATAGGATAGGATAGGAAAGGAAAGGAAAGGAAAGGAAGGAGAAAGAGAAAAAAAGGAAGGAAGGAAGGAAGGAAGGGGAAGGAAGGAAGGAAGAGAGAAAGAAAAGAAAGAAAGAAAGAGGAAGGAAGGAAGGAAGGAAGGAAGGAAGGAAGGAAGGAAGGAATGTAGCTTGTTTGGCAGTGCTTGTGTTTTTCAGAAACCCCTGCTGGGTCTTCAGAACTATTTTATTTTTTGTGCTCCTGGAACAACACAAGACTGTTGGGACCGGAAGCGAAAGCCGGAAGATGCTTCCGCCTTCCCCGTCAGGAGGGAAGGGGGACTCTTCCTTTGTCTGCCTGTGTCTCATGCCTGATCCAGATTTAGTTCTGCCTGCCTCCTGCTCCCCTTGCCTGGGTGGGAGGGAGGTGTGGCAAGGGTGCATGGGGAGAAGATGATGAATGGAGCGCTCTCTCTCTCTCTCCCTTCCTCCAGCTGCGCCTCGTGTGTGTGTGTGTGTGTGTGTGTGTGCTGCTCCATGTGACGCCGCACTTCTAAGCCGTGTCC